ACAGTTGGTGTCTCTAGAAATGTTAGCAATGATGAAATTGAAAGACTTGGCAGGGAGAACAGGTCATTTTCAAGAGATGCCCTGGACCAATCCCGAAGTGGAGACTCCTTTGAGAACATTGGAAGGGGCAGGGAAAATGCAAATGTTTATGGCTGGAAAAAATCTCCTTCAAAGAAACTCTCAAGCAGTAGTTCATATTCCGAAAGCAATCATTTAACCAGTAGTGATCAGAATTGGATTGGAAAAGAAGCCAGTGTTCACAAATCATCCTCGACTGGTATATCCAACACTGATAGAGCAAGGCAACAAAAGGACTCATATTCAGCTGGTGACAAAACATTGTTACCAAAAAGTGCTTCATCACATCTTCCTCCTCCATCTAGTAGAGAAACAAGGAATGATAAGTATACTTCATCAAAAACTCTTTATAGAGAGAAAACTTCAGATCGCAGATCAGATTTGTCTACATTGACATCAAGACAGGAAAACAGTGATAGGTTGTCAAAGAGGACTTCTATGGATGGATCATCTACCTATGGAAAACAGCCATATAATATGGATAGGATAGGAAATTTGTCTAAATCACAGGCAATATCTACTGAGGGATTGTCAGCATTTGATAAAGTGGTGTCCAAAGGAAAGAATGCCAGTGGAAATAGTAGTTTTTCCAGAGGTAAAGAAGGTATTACGGGTATTTGTGGTCTGTTAATCACTTTTTATTTACAATTTCATTTCCGTGTAATTACGGTACTTAAAACAGTGTATTGGTGAAAAATTGCATTCTCATGTTTAATTTTCTAATTATAAATTAAATGCAACAAAAACCAAAACTTGCAAACATTTCTTCTCATTTAAAAATATATTTTTTTTTTTTACAAAAATCAATGTGAGGGAATAAGCTCTGCTTTGAGATGTTTTTTTTTTTTTGTTTTTTGTTTTTTTGCTTCAGAATGCTACCTATGATTTGACTATTGATCTAATTTCAATTGAAAAGTGCATTCATCATGAACAGAATCTTTCTTTTAATTACTCAAGACCTAATTACTAATTAAATTAACTATCTCTTCTAGATATTCTCTGGTTATGCAATCAATATTGAGCTCTCTTGATAATATTATTTAACGTGAAAACTATAGAAAAAAAAAAAAAACATAGATTTGATTTTATAATTTTTCTTGAATGCAAAATAGTATTGTAGTGTTCATTTAAAATATTATTTAGCCCAAAAAAGAAATCATTCAGGATAAAAAATGACCTGTTTCATTTTCTACTGCATTGTGATAACCTTTCTATTGACATCAAAGGTTACCATGACAACCAGAGAAAAAGGGATAAAGCCTCCTTAATTTGTTCAGAGGAAATTGACAGTAATGGGCCTAGAATTGAGTTAGGGGGGTTATTTACCAATGTATAATGGATGTTGATTTTGATAACCCCCTTAACTCAAGGCTGTAATCAGAAACTGGGTTCCTCCCTTTGTTTTTACATTTAACATTTATATTGGTCTTTATTGATGAAGATTTGTGAAGTAAAGACTGCACCAACTATAATTCTGCTGGGGAAAAATTCATAAATAATGTGTCATTTTTACATGGAGGAAGGATTTTTTTCTGTGTCTGATCATAAATGATCTATTTTTATGTTCCTTTATAAAATATTAAACAGGATAATGATGTGTTTTATTAGGAATTATATTTAATATTCCCTCGGAGTGTATACAAAAAATTGACTGGAACTTACAGTTAATTAGACCTAATACACTGTGCTGCTAATTAAACTGATGGACTTCATAAAGTTGGATTGTTTTGAAATTTTTGGTGAAATTTCATTTTTATTATGAGAGGTTGACTTGAAGTCCTCAGTTTTTCCTGGACCATGTCCCGTGACAAACTACACCTAGTTGGACTGGGTCAGTGGGGTGAGTAATTTAAATATTGTACAGTAAAACCTGCTCATAATGGACAGACATATAAAGGATGACAGGAAATTAATTTCTGATTGTAGCAAAATGTAAGGAATCATAAATGATTAAATTAACTTGTGTATGCTTCTGCATAATCTTGTGTAGAATTGAAGGTGGTCAATATGTTAAGTAGCTATTGTTAAAATTAATTGATCATTGAGTCCAACATATTATTCTTCACTAAGCCAACTATGGAATTGATTTGAATGCCATTTTTGTGAATGGTCACACTATTAAATTTAATATACCTGAAGTGTCTGTTACTATGATGTCACAATGTCATGACATCATGGAAATATTTTTGAAATTCAATTTTGGGAGGAGAAAGTCATTGAATTTGAGATTTTAGTTTAAATGCAATTGAATTATTAATTCTATATTGGAAACAAGGAAGACTTTGAAAATAAAATTTTATAAGATTTAATTTTATTATCTGGATCTGGATTATTTAATTATGTCACCCCGAACAAAGTCAGGCGACATATTGGGATTGTATGCATGTTTTTGTTCTACAGGCTGTTTCTCAGAGATGGCTGATACAATCTTCCTGAAACTTTCCTCAAAGGAGGATCACTGTCAGTAATTTTGTTGTATGGTCATTCAGTTTCAAAATGTCTACTGTTGCCATGGAAACCCGCAAAAAGCCATGAATTTTGTCCGTGAATTTTCTCTCTGGTCCCTTGAACATTCTTCATGAAATTATATTGATGTAATGATTAGTATATGTAATTGTGCTCATTGGATTTAAAAATTGCAAATTTTCAATAATTTCCATGGAAACAGGCCAGGGGAAAAGTGAAAATTCTTAACTTTGATTTTTAAATCAAAATACTGAAAGTACTGATACGAGTTGATGGTTGTCCAAGCTTAGCTAATGGATATTGTTTTAGTGATGAAAATATGAAAGTCTTGTCCAGTTCGGGGTGACATACGCGATTGCATGCAATAGCAAACTTTCTAGTTTGTAATAAGTACTGTAAAAACTCAAATTTTATTTGTCTATAGTAATTCTTTGGTGGATTGTTCTCAAAGGTCTGACAGATGAAAATTAGGTCATCCGGTCACACCTTGGTCATTAAAGCTATAGAAACCTCTCTGTGTGCAGCTGTAATTTACAGACATTGTGTCATTGTGACAATTGTCAAGGATGATATATGGCGACATTGTGTGTCAGACAGCCTGAATTTCCTCTGATGTATCAGATATCAAAAAAATTGCTATGCTGAGAAACCCCAAGAGACCCCAGGCGGACATATTGAATTGCCCCCACTGTCGAGACTTCTGTCTTCACAGAAATCAATTTATATCAACTGATCACATCCCCTCATATATATATTGAATGGCCTTATCTGTCCATCAATGGGAATTTGTACTTCTGTCACACACCCCTGTGTTTGATGAAATATTACAATCATCAGGAGTATTGGGTTATGTTTACTATGATTTCTCCTGGCGATGGAAGGTTTCATGACTTATGTTGATAAAAGTAAGGGTTGTTGTGTGCTGGAAAAACTGTTGCTTTATCTGATGGAATGACTACTGAAGTGCGGACTTTGTTTTATAATGAAGGCTATTGTTTGATGCTATTCAGTGGAATTTAGTGAGCCCACATTGTTGCATGATTAAGAGCAGGATCCATTAATTTTTAAGCTATATATAATGAAACTTTGCTAAGGTGTCTTTGCGCCTCGTTAGATATTGGATTTTCTTCTATGAAATGTTTTTTTTTATTGTGGAGTGTCTTTTTCTACTTATGAGACGTAAGAAGAATGTTTTGGAGTTGAATAGGAAGTTTGGATTTTGGAATTAAATCCTGGAGGAAAGAGTGTTTGAAAAGATTTTCTAGAAGTCTTGTGGATGTGTGAAGATTTAGCAAAGGAGATATCAGTATTCTGTGGATACCTTGAATCTTTGGCAGAAGTCATTAATTTTGTGTTAACTTTGGAAAACTAATTGACGATCACAGCTTTTCTGTACATGTAATGATTATCCTGGCATTTCTGTCTGCAAAACAATAAATATTTAACTTTGCAGGGAAAAACACAATCAATTACATTTTCCTCCTGAACTTCATTTTTTTAAAATTCTACAGTACTATGAAATCATAATAAGCTTTCCTTTTTTTTAAATTCAAGTTTTGAATTCCTTCCATTAATCTTTGAAGAAGTAATTTTGAATTGAAATATTTGATAAGGTATTTTTCTAATATTCTTTGGGAACAAAATTTTATTTGTTGTCAGGATAATTGAATTCTTTTGTTTAATCATCATTTCAAAATTGTGAAACCTGATTCCATCAAACACAGTGAGAGTTATTGAAAATAAAATTGGAGGAAGTAGATTTCCCTGAGGGACCCCAATAATTGGCTATTATATGAAAGGATAACATTTAGTGGAATGAAAAATTTATGAACAATTTGTACCATCATCACTTACATGTTCTATTGGGAATCTTGGTCTTCAATATTTCACCAGCATTTATTTGCCATAGGATACAATTGCTGCTTAATGAAATTTTAATTCAGAGAGGCTGAGAGAGAGAACACTCAGTTTTTGTGTGTGGATTGTTTTCTTCAAAACAGTCTGGAGTGTCAATTTTCCAAGAATATTGGATTACTTTGGGAGGAGTAATGAACTTGTATGAAACTGTTTTCTGGAACACTCAGTTGTTTTAGGACTCACTCATAACATGAGTCTATAGCTGCATACAGCATCAAAAATGAGGATGTGTTGATTGGTCAATCCTGGTTTTCTTTGGAAATTGAATTGTATAGTGTATGGAACAAAGAAACTGGTGAACTGTATTTATTAGACGTTTTCTTAAAGGCCAGTTTGTATGAACTTAAATCATTGCAAAGTGAATCGTGAATTTTTAAAGTTTTGTGGTGTTTTTTAAACATTGGTCATGTTAAATAGTATTCCTAATCTAAATACTTGCTTTAAGTCCTCTGTTTGGAACAATGACTGTTATTTTAATTGAACAACTTTGAAAAATTAATGTTGATGAAAAAAAAGTTATGAAAGAAAAGAAACTAAAGATGAATGACCTTGACTTTGGCGATGCCTTGAATGTTGAACTTCAGAAGCTACAGAGACAAAGAGCAGTGAGGTCATCATCCTTAGAGGACCGCCGTTCATCGTACTCACAGCGTACGACGTCCACTATAACGTCGCTAGATACGGGAAAGTCCTCATCAGTTCTTGCATTGTCTGATCAGAAGACACTGAAAATCCCTCTTACTCTTTCACACTGGGACTCTGTTGATCAGACATGCAAATTAGGTAAGGTCAGAGAGGTCATGTAAGGTCAAAAAGGTCATTTTATAATAGATAATTTTGTTTTTTGCTGGTTGTTCAGATTTTTATTTTTAACTCTTCAAGATCGAATTTTGTCTTACAAATTAATTGCTGATTTTGGGTTTTTATTCACATGGTTTGATATTTTTTGATGCTTTTTCAAAAGGTTTGAGGAAAATTGAGAATCATCCCTAACATAGGACATTGTATTGGTTAAGTGTTTTGATTGCTATGATTTTAGAAATTTTTGTGCTATTTAAGAAGATTTAATAATGGAATTTTTTTTGTTTCAAAAAGAATCTCTTTGATTTTGACATTGTGTTAAATTTCAAATAACAGTGAAATCCCTTTTGGTAAAGATAAAAAAAAATGTGAGAATAGAGTAATTTTTTTTGGTCATGTTCTTTGAATAATTTGGCTGAAAGATTCCAGAGTCCTTATAAACCCCCTTCAGTTGGAACACAGTCTTGCATCCCAGTGATAACTGCATGTATTGAATTTTAATTTGTCAAAAATCAATGCATTTGAACTTGGAGCACTCATCAGAAACAAAATCAAGAAAGCGTAAAGGAAATATATTTGTGTATCCTAAACAAATACTTATTAACTTAATGTTGATTCCATCAAATGTGAAAAGTCAAGCGAGACATTTAAATCTATTTTTGATTGACACAGTGATTGGCGGATAAATCATTTAAACTTATTCGTAGTAATGTTGGAATCTCCCTAGTAAATATTTATACAAGTGTACTGGTAAATATTTGTTGACATATCCTTAGAGATATTCATAATGCTGACATTGCATGGAACAGGAAAATGTGTGAAATGATTTATATTCAAAGCCAGATTCCTGAGAAATGTTTTTTGTGACAATATCTGTGTTTTAATGTGCCTTTACATGTAAAGTTTATACATTGGATACATTTATGTATAGCGAATATAGATTAAAAACTTTGAAAGGATCATTAATTTCTAGTCAGTCAAGTAAGTGTTATATAGTAAAATGTTTTTGCTTCATTTTCAAAAATTACATGCATGTGTGCATAAAAAATTAAGTACTCAAAGTCATCTCTGTAAGAATCATGCAAAAGATGACACATTGATAATTTGGGATTTTAATAATCTTTTAAATTTTCCATAAATTTTCAAAATGATGAAATGTGTATTCATGCAGAGTACTTATATATAAACCTAGAAAATAAGATTTAATTATATTTAAGAAAATTAATGTCACAGATTATAGAGATTTTATTGCTTGGATTGAATGTGTGGTCAGGCATTGAATGTTTGGAGTTTTTAGTTTGAAATATTGAATTTATGACACGATGCCATATGATATAGCAACATGAGCAATGCACTCGTTGGTTTATTAATAAATCATTTTAATATTAGAAGTGTTCTTCATACAGGTCTCACTTGTTTATCAGTACATTAAAGAGACTGCAGTATAGTAACTAATTTAATCAATTTATTGATTGTGGCTGATGAGACACAGTTTCAATGTTTTGAGTTGATCTGCTTTTCTATGTTTCAAAATGATATACTGTCAAACTTCTCCCTGTTTTTATTTTGAACTTGATTAGACTGGGGGAATAAAACTTCAGAATGTCTAAAGGTTTGTCTGTGAGATTATGAGGTTTAAAAGCATGAAATGGATGAAGTTGTCATGGATATTATGTCAATACTCGAGAGATGAACATAGAAAACAGGGAAAAAATAAATCTTTCATTTTCTGTCATGTTTACTGTAATAAAATTAATTTTAATTAATTTAAAAATAATATTAATTTTTTTTATTAAAAAATAAATAAATTACAAAAAGGGGGGATTGTACCCACCTAATCATGCTACAATGTAATTAAGTAATTTAATTTAGTCTGAAAAGAAATTAAATTAAAGAATTTGATATCTCAATGACATATACCTTTATATGGAATACAATAGATATTTTGATTTGAGTTGGAAATATTCCCAGTTACTTGTTCTATTTGTAGTTTAACTTCAATTTCTCAGATCTAGGATATTTTCAAGTTTCTTTGCCACAGTGAGTTTGAGATAATAGGCCTTTAATACATTTTTGCTGTAAGCAAAAGTTTTTAACATTTTACCATATATATATATTTAAGATACTATATGTACATGTTAAATAAAAAATTCCAATGACCTTTCCATTTTTTTCAATATCAAGAAATTTTGTATTTTTAGATGGCCCCCTAAGTCTACACGAGTCCACCATTATGATGAACGCAGACACAGGACAGTCCCCTCCTAAGTCGGAGAGACAATCCATGGAGGACACTTCCCAGAATCCAACAGAACAAATGAACGGGCAGATCAACTACGATGAGATCTGTAATATCAAAAATCTCAAGGTACGCAAAAAAAAAAAAAAAAGTATTTGTCAAAGTGATTTGTGGAATTTCTTTCTAAATCTTGAATAGAGAAGCTTTTTTCATGGTGATGATTCTTTTTTGAATTGATACTTAATCTTCTGGATTCTCAATAAGCATTGAGAATTTTATTTTTTATTTTTTGGGTGGGGGGGGGATACTAAATCTTCTTTTTGTGCTTATACATATTTATGCATGCATAATCATTTGTAAGTCATTGTAGGACTTGCTTAAATGCAAAATGTTGTATACATAGATACACAATATATTTATTTGAACTTAACAGGATGAGGAAATGCTACAAAGGGTACCAGAACTCGTCCAAGCTCTGAGGGGGTTAGATGAGTATGACCGCGCGGAAACAATGAAGATTTTGAAAAGTGTCGGTGACACGTACTGGAATTTCCGAGCCATTAGGAACAAAATTGGCAATGCTCTCGCTGACGAGGGGTTCGCAGGTTTGTAGATTTACTTTGTCTTTAAGACTATCTAGATCAACTGAAATATGCATAATATATAAAAATATATTACATTTTAAGTAAAAATTTTGTACAAGTGCTTAGTGCTAAACTTAATTGGCCCATCAAATAAATACTAGTAAATAAATTTTATTTCATTTTTTTCAGAAATTACCATGAAGATATTGAAGACATTAAATGGGAAGGGGATCTTTAAGAATGACTCGATATGGTTTCCAGTGTACTACTGCTTTAATACTCTGTGGAATTACTCAGATGCCTCTCAACTGCCAAGGTAATAAACAATATAAAGTCAACTTTACCATCATGTTTATCAGAGATTCACACATGTCAAGATTTTGTATATAAATGTTAACATTAAATGATAGAAATAATAAATTTTGACTAAGGATCTAATATCAAGAAAAAAAGCTCAATTCATGTTATAAATGTACAATTTACAGTTGTAAACCAACTACTGTTATTAATACTATCCTTGTTTGGGGAATTTAAACTCAGAACACGCCTCTCTCAGAACTGTCGCCAAAATGGTATATAGCTCAAAAATAATTATATGCAGTTTTTTGAACTTTTACAATTTGTTAGACTATAAATCATCATAATTTTATAATTTTCAAATACTTATCAAAATTATTGGTTGGCGGTGATTAATACATGTATTTGTGACAAAAATAGGTCACAAATATTTCAAGCAAGCAAATAAAAGTTGGTTTTGTGTTTATTTCAATGATTTAGAATCAGACATTATTTTTTACCATTAACTGTGATGGTCTATATCAAAAATTATCCAATAATTTATGATCATGAACCCTCTATCAAAAACCTTCATTCCAAGGTAATTTATTTCTGTTTTACCATTAACTGTGATCATGAACCCTCTATCAAAAACCTTCATTCCAAGGTAATTCATTTCCGGAAATTTGAAAATCTATCAAAAACCTTCATTCCAAGGTAATTTATTTCTGTTTACCATTAAAAATCAAAATATATGTTATGATTATTACAATTTCTGTTTTATGTGATCTGTAACCCTATATCAAAAATTTTAAAATCATTTCTATTTTAATTTGATTAAGTTGTGTAACAGTTCTCAAGGTAATTTTTTCTGTTGAACCATTAACTGTGAATATTAAAACCTTCATTCCAAGGTAATTTATTTTTTTTACCATTAACTGTGATTTGAACCCTCTAGTCCATTCCAAGGTAATTTATTTCTGTTTTACCATTAACTGTGATCATGAACCCTCTATCAAAAACCTTCATTCCAAGGTAATTCATTTCCGTTGACCATTAACTGTGATCATGAACCCTCTATCAAAAACCTTCATTCCAAGGTAATTTATTTTTTTACCATTAACTGTGATCATGAACCCTATATCAAAAACCTTCATTCCAAGGTAATTTATTTCTGTTTTACCATTAACTGTGATCATGAACCCTATATCAAAAACCTTCATTCCAAGGTAATTTATTTCTGTTTTACCATTAACTGTGATCAAAACTTTTATCAAGTAAATCCATTAATTATGTATATCAAAAACCTCAAGGTAATTCATTTTTGTTTTAAATCTGTTTTCAGAATCCAATATGTATTAAACTTTTTGCTTAAAATGAAAATGCTTAAGAAGTTTTTTTTTTTTTTTTTTTGAGATTTGAATTTTTTTTTTTTTTATCATTACGCTGTAAAGAGATTTTACATTTTGAATCATAAACTAAATGAATTTTTAAACAATTATTTTGAAAATTGGCCCATTTAAAAAAATACTTTTTGGCCTTGTTTTTTTTTTGTAATGGAAGTGAGTGCTTCCTCTTGTATTATGTTGACTAAGTGAAGGAGGATCAATATGAACTTAAAGATTCTGGTAATGGAATATTTTGGAAAAATCCCATCACAGGTAAATATTATCATTTATTATTAAATTCTTTTTTTCTGTTGATAAAACAAAGTTTTTATTTTTACAGAATGTGTATTATGTTGTTAAGGCTTCCATGAGTATATTACACAATATCTCAAGAACAACAGATATTCATCACTACTTCAAAGAAAATGGCACCACTGAGGTAAAAACATGATCTTCGTGTAATTTTCACAAAATCAATAACAAAATCATAAAACAAGGAATCAAGGACTTCAAAAAAATCATTTGTTTACTCATAGTTTTATGTGTCTAAACTAAATAGAGACCTATATGAAGTATTAAATTTATGAAATAGGTTATTATAGATTCTATTTTTAAGATTCAGTGATCTTTAAATAAGAGAGATAACTCTTACTTAGATAAATGACTATTATTCCTTTGTCATGAGCAACAACACAAAATTGCCAAATTTTCCATGCAGTGTATGCTGAAATTATTTACTTTTCAGTTATCAAATACATTTTTTTGAATAATCATAAGCATTAAAGCAAAATGATATATTCAACAAATAAAGGGATGAATATAGCTTTAAAAGAAATATTTATCAATAAATTGACTTGCAAAGTGCAAAATTGAATTGTACTATTTTGTGTCCAAAGCAATGTCATATTTAAGAGTATAATCATTTATGATGAAAATTTGGAATGCTGCTATTTTTTATCAGGTGATGCTGAAGTTTGCCACGTGGAAGGATTTGACCTATGAGATGTTAAAGGTCATGTCCCTTCTGACCTTGGCCCACATAGTAGAGGAGGAGGATAACGATAAACTGATTGATGAAACAGGTAGGTGGATCATAGATAAATAAGGTAGGTAGATCCTAAGGGTTTCAAACCATTCAAACCAAATATTTTGAAACTTTATTCTAATACTGTAAACGTGGAAATTTTGACGATGTGCTAATTTTGACTATATTGATGATTTTTCTTTTCTCGTCAAAATTTACACTCGTCAAACTTCACATCATATATATATATGTAGTGTCATAACAGACATTGACCATTGTACAACTTTACCGCTAAATTTTCTTGGCTCTCCCTTTTTAAAACTAAATTAAACTAAATTCATTAAAAGTTACTGTTAATTTCATTGTAATTAGTTATGAAAACACAGTGATATATATAATCGCTTTTTTTAAAACCATAGAATCTAAACTAGTGTATCAAATACTTCATGCGTAACTTCGCGTAATTATCACGCTGTGATTTACCTAATTTGTCACCTCAGGCAAGTGACCGCTTATAGTGAAAACAAATTACAAGAGAGCAATTTATTTAATCTAATCTTACACACTTAGATAGTTTGTACAATCTTACACATTGTAGATACATGTACTAGTAGTCTGTACAAAATTAAATTTTCGTGATTCCGACGCTGCCTTTGTATCCCCATCAATTCTGAGATTTATAACTCTTGACTAAATATTTCGTCAAAATTAACACTCGTCAATTTTCATAAACAAAAAATCGTCAATTTTTCAACTCGTCAATATAACCACGTTTACAGTAACTGAATAGGCACATACTGTAAACCCAAATTTATTTGTGTGCGAGAAATATTTGTGAGGTTTGCAAGAGCATTGTTATCGCGAATATTTCTCGCCTTGAACCAGTCCTTAAAGTCTCTGTGTCTATTAACATCAGATTCAAAAAGGCTTGATCGCAATAATTTATTTTTGCGAACTAGTTAAGCCCTGGTAAATTGCGAAATAAAGTTGTTGCGAATAAAAGTTGGTTTACAGAAAACATTTTACAAAATGAAAACATATAGAAAAATGCTAGTATAAGAAAAAATACAAAATCAAAGTGATAAATCTAGACTTTATGATACACAAGATGCCATAGTTAGTTGTTAAAATACACACAATAGATTTTGACTTTTGTTAAACCACAACTTTTCGACACATGCAGGTGCCATAGAAAGTTGTATCAAATACATCACCAAGGCCTTAAAGAATTCCAAAAGAAGACATTTAGGATTTACCCCTCAGGAAGTAATGGACGGTCTGAGTAAACTGGCTGTCAACGACAAAAACAAGAAAAAGGTGAGGATTATTGAAATTCAATATATGAACATATGAAAATTTCATGTGGTATTTATTGTCATTGATAATTTTTAACAACAAAATAAAATTTAATCCCCAGCAAAATATTCTGGTTTTACAGTATGTTGCAATACACAGAAATTCATAATATTTTCTAAGATCACACAAGATTGATTTTTAGATTGTCATTCTTACCTTCTCTCTCATTATGGATTGATTAAAAAAGCATAACGATGTGACGTGTAATAAAAACAAATCAGAAAAATACATGCTTATAATTCTTGTAATTTGAAGAAAAGAATGAGGAATGAAAAAATTAAATCAAAATGCCAAAAACTATCTTTATGTGGCCTTAAATAAAAAATATGTCCCCCTATTTATTGAAATGTGTTTTGAAATTCACAGATTATTGAAGCTGGGGCATTACCAGTTTTCCTTGAAATGCTTAAAGGAGAGCACACAGAAGAACAAGCAATCACAGCGAGGGCGATATGGAATTTATCGTTCGACAAGGAGGTGTGTCAACAAATTGTGGAGTACCCAGAAATGATAGAGAGGCTGGAGAGCCTGACGAACAGTCAGGATAAAATCGTCGCAAAAAACGTCAGTGGAGCACTGTTTGTACTCAAAGGAGAGAATGATGTATCAAAACGTGAGTGGATCTAGGAGTTTGAGGGGTGTTCTCAGTTATTTGCTGTTAAAGTCAGAGTATTTGGTCAGAATATTTCTTTTCAACTATTACATAGTGAGTCAGGATATCATATATATCTTAGCTAATAATGTACTTTGATTTTGATTTTAAAAATACTTGTTGGGAAAAAAATTCAATGATTGATATATTCTATTAACATTTTTCTGAGTGTTATTGTAGTAATCATATAAATATATGGGATAAAATGTTTTCAACATTTGATATCCTTTGTATCATTTTAACAATTTCTTTAGGGCAAAGTACTATAGAACCTCCAAATAAATTAATAAATTTCTTGTTAGGCAATAGACAGATCATCAACAGATCATTGTGATATATGTGCATATGACTGATAAGAATTGTGTTTATGTACATATTCATTATTTTGGATTGGTAGGTCCAAAGTCTGCCAAGAAAAATAAAGGCCATGTGTTCATCAGTTACTCCTGGAATGAGAAAGAAATTGTGATGAAGATCAGGGAGAGATTAAAAGTAAGAAAATATTCATAAAAAATCCCCAAACAACTGATTGTTTGTCCACATTGAATGTAACAAATGTTAAGAAAGTAGGAAGTACTAGGATTTCATAGGGAATCAGACTGAAAAGGGGGGGGGGGGTAGAGGGGGATGGCATTCGGAGGAGGAGAGAACTAGTTTAGGAAATTGTTTTTCTTCTCTCCTTCTTCTAGGCATGTGAAACTTAAAAAATAACTATTTAGCTTTAACTTCAAGTTGATTAAAAAATTCAAAGGTTCACATTGTCTTTTTTTTCATTTATTAAATTTTAGAAATAAATCCACATTCTGAACAAAACAAAAGATATGTTTAATCAATCATGTATGTACAAGGTCTTGTATAAGAATTTGACTTGATATTACTCAACAAATCAGTATCTAGTGAGTATTGTATGACATGGACATCAATGATAGTGGGAAAAGTGGGATAATTTTTGTATAAAGGGCGATCCGATCAATACCAGTTATATGTCTTTTTTTTTTCAGAAAGAGGGAGTGGAGGTGTGGATTGATGTGGAGCGTATGGGTGGATCTACATTGTCAGCTATGGCTGAGGCAGTGGAGAATGCAGCTCTAGTGTTAATCTGTATGTCAGAGAAATACAAAGAGAGCCCTAATTGTAGATTGGGTGAGTAATAGTTTTAGAGCAAAATATTTCTGTAGGACTACAGAGCTTGTAGCAAATATATTTGGAATAAACAGTTTGAAGAAGAATATGTTAGTGCAAACCTATTTTCAATCTGCATATACATGTAATCAAATAAAATTCTCATTCCATGAGCTGCACCCTTATTTTTCTTTTTCAAGAGGTTTAAACTTTGAAACCTATTTAAAATGCAATTTTATCATGTACTTTTATGGAAAACCATCATCATCAAAATGTTTTGCTTTTTATGAAACTAAACAGTGTTGTAATTTACAGAGGCGGAGTACACCTTCCAGCTCCGTAAGGAGTACATTCCCCTGATGGTCCAGAAGAGGTATCGCCCGGACGGCTGGCTCGGAATGATTCTCGGAGCCAAGCTGTATTTCGACTTCAGTGGAAAATATCCATTTGAGAAGCCCTGGAATGGATTGATGAAGGAACTGAAGAGCATTGGGAGGCTCTCAGTACTGGAAAATCCCACAACAGGTAAATATATGGCTATCTAGAGAGGCTATTGGAGAATAACCTGACAACTAAACAGGGCTTATGGGTATTCAAAATTTGTTCAGTGACACTGTACAAAAACTTCTATTAGATTTTAAATGGTTGGAATTTTTGAAACATAAGGTAAAATTTCATAGATTACCTCAACTTCTTTATATGATACAAATGGATTTAATCGATGTTTGAGATTATATCTAATGTTTTATAAGAGATTT